GCATCCGTGTCGTCGCTATTTGACACCTGATGACACACACGATCTCTGCGTTTTGTGTTTGGGCGAGGAGCACGCACGCGACGTCCTTGAGGGGGCGATTTGCGTGCATTGTGAGCGTTTTTCGATGAGAAAGCTCCGCTCTCGTTTTTCTCTTTTTTCGAGGAAAGAGGGGCAGCCGTCTGCTTCCCGCGATTCAGGACCCGCCGCTGCTGAGGCACGGAAGGGAATGAGCTCGTGGGGATCGCATGTGGATCTGGCCGATGAGTTTGAAGAGGGGTTTCCCTTTCGCGATCGTCGGCTGTGCATGAGAATGAGCCGCTGGAGGATGATGTTATTTCTTTAACATCTTCTGATCCAGGGGCCAGTGCTCTGCTGGGTTCAGCACAGGAAGAGCAGGAAATGTCTGAGGAGGGTGAAGAAACTGAGGCTGAGCCTTCCCAATCCTCCTGCCCAGCGTATGATGAGCTTTTGGAAATTATGGATCGCGCCACGGCGAGGCTTTTCTTGCCGTGAAGCGGGTGAAGAAAGTGACGTCGCGAGTATCTCGATGAACGTTATTTTTCTGGCCATATCCCTCCAGCTCAGGTGAGCCTTCCTTTCTTCCTGTGTTTCATATAAGACAGTGCTCCAGGCATACCAGGCTGACCTGCTGAAAGACCTGGATAAAGGCGAGGGCCTTTTTCCTGATGAGGTTGCTGAGTTGCGCCGCACCACGGATTTCGCTCTCCGTGCTACTAAGCAGGCCGCCTCTGCTATTGGCAGATCCATGGCGATCTATGGTACTGACGAAGAGGCATCTGTGGGTGAACCTGGCAGACATCGGGAGGAAAGAAAGGGGCTTTCTTCTCGACGCCCCGGTTTCGCCCTCTGAACTTTTTGGTACCTCTGTTGAGACGGTGTTAACCTTCCCACTGTGTCCAATTAGACCAATTTTCCCTTTCAGAAGTTGTTTTAATAGTTGTTTAAAAGTGTGTGCTTGAGCTAATGAATGACTCACAATAGGAAAATCCTGCAAGAGAGACAGACGCACAGTGCCTCAAGCTCTCTCCTCCCAAAGTTCACCTTTTGAGGGGCTTGAATCTGATGGTTAGGAAATGAATCATTAAACTCTGACCAGGGGTCAGAGAAAAGCCTCCCCCACCCCTTCATTTCAAAGCTCAGAGGAAAAAAAACCAAACACTTTAATTCAGTTGATGGTGTTAACCTTCCCACTGTGTCCAATTAGACCAATTTTCCCTTTCAGAAGTTGTTTTAATAGTTGTTTAAAAGTGTGTGCTTGAGCTAATGAATGACTCACAATAGGAAAATCCTGCAAGAGAGACAGACGCACAGTGCCTCAAGCTCTCTCCTCCGCTAAACACATGGAATAATTTCATCTAGCCTTTATAATTTCATCTAACCTTTAACATTCTGAGCGAAAAACCCTGATGTCACTATTACTGAAGTCATAATCTCTTTTCAAAAGAGCAAAGGTGAACAACAACAGAACAACCAAACTAAATCTGACAGATCACAGTCTCAGGCTACTATTTAGCTTGAAAACATATTACTGTAGCAAACTTTTTTTTTTTTTATTATCTTT